TTTATTTGATATTATTCTTTATTGTATGACCAATACAATGGACCCATCACTTTAGACATGTTTGGTGTAAGGAAAGGAAAGAGTAAAATGGCTTTAGACAATAACAGATTGTAGGAAATAACTTTTGTTTTTCGTTGTTTCCTATTTTTTGGTTTTTGTTGAAATGTTTAGACAATATCAACTATTTTTTGGCTTTAAACATCTCTTTAGACATGTTTGGTATAAGGACTTGTTGAACTTGGTTGTTGGTTGCTGAATATGGATATTATATTGCTGTTGAAGGGTTATAATGGTTATGGTGTAGTGACAATTTATTTTTTGATGAAGTGATAGTTGGTATGTAACTATTTATGTTGCTGTTGAAGGGTTATAATGATTGTGGTGTAATGGTAATTTATGTTTTTGATGATGTGACTTGGTATATGAAAATTTATGTTGTTGTTTAAGGCGTATAATAGTTGTGATGGTTATAATGTTTTGGTTATATTGCTATGCTATTAGGTTTTTAGTGCACTATTTTTACTTACAATCCAAATTTATTTCATACATGCTCACATACACAATCTTATGATAGTTAATAAATAGATACTTCCATTACATTAATTTACCGTTACATTGATTTAAATAGCAACACAATCAACATTGCAAAATCACATGGAAAAAAACCCAACATGAATACAACAATGTAACTTATTCCACCATTCACAGTCCTCATAGTTGCTATAGGTTGTGCATCAACATAGTTGATGCTGTCATCATTGTGCAAAGGTTCCAATTCTGCATTTCTCATACCAATTTGAGCTCTCAAAGTTGAAATGGTCCGCATTGCCATCTCTCTCTCCATATGGTTCCAATGAAGTACTCTTTGAACTTCATTATGTTGAGATCAACCCATCTAAAAAAACCACAACATTAGCTTCCACATCCATAAAACTTGCGCCCTAGATTTTCATGTGTCGTTGCTGTTCTCAGAGGCGATTTCAATCCATAATAGCAATGCAAATTATCGTATAATCTACCTTGATGTGATACATTAACAGAGTTTCTTGATGTCATTGAGGGCTCTATATTCTACAACAACAATAGAGAGAGGAAAAAAAACAGATATATGATAATAATATGCACATGTCATACACTAGATAAAATACTAACATGTCATATATAGCAATATATATATATATATATATATATATATATATATATATATATATATAACAATACAAATATATATATTGACCTGGGAGAGTGAGAGTAGAGAGAGGATTTGGTATAGGGAGAGGCCGAAAGTTTATATATATGATTGAAGGGCATAATGGTCATCATGGAGGGCAGTTTTGGAATTAACATAAAGTAATCAATCAAGTGCAAAAGTATATCACTGAAAAGAGGATTACGGCGTCTGAGGGCAAAATACTCACTTTCAAAACTACTATGACTAAGTTGCTCACTTTTTTATTCAAGGAATATTTTGTTCATTTGCTGAAATCTCAGGGTTATTTCGCACTTTTGCTTATTTATTTATTTTTATTTTTTATCTACCATGTTATTTAATAGGAAAATGATAATTTTGACGACATATATCTAACAACTTGAAACCAACACAAGTAAAAAATGCTAACGTGGCAATCCACTTAATAACCACAAAGTGCTCTCTCTTGCTCGCACACTCTCCTTTGCTGCCGCCGCTGCTGTTGCCAATCGTTTTGGTGATAGAAATCCATCGTTTGCCGGCGAAATTGTCCCAAAATCTCATAGATATATCCTAATTTCTCTCTCATTGAAAAAAAATACAGGGCTGATAATTCACATTCTAAAGCAATTAGGGCTATAAAAGTAAACTGAAAATTAGACTGTAAAACTAAACTGAAAATAATTTCACCATCATCTCTTCCTTCTTTACATTCTTCATCTTAATGAAGATCAGTTTCAGTCCCAGATTTGGCCTGGCCTTCGTCATCTCCAACTCCACCGCACTTTCCGGTGATCTCTTCGGCGAAAACTCAATGTTTCCTCCAACACCATTGTCTTGCCCCAATTCTCGCCGTTGAATTTGACACTGGCCGGATCCCAAACAATCACATCAAAATCAACTTGAACAACATCGAATCGGAGACAATTCTTGGATTGAATTTGGGTAATACATGCCTGGATTGAATTTGAGATAATTGATCATATGTATATATATATATTTTTAATTTCTTTAAAGAATTAGCTAAATGAGTGGAATAGAGAATTATTTAATTTCAGTTTAGTTTTATGCATAGGAAATAAAAAAATCAAAGTTGCAACTTTTGGGTATGTTAAATTGACTTGATGAATTAGAGTGGAAGAGAGATGATGCGTGATTGACTGCTTTGGCGCAGAGACGAATAAATTGAAAAAGAAGGGAGATGATTGTATGCTACTTGTTAACAGCTGCCCAGGGCCGGCCTTGGGCCTCAAATTTTTAGGGCCATTGGGGATGGAATTTTTTTATTTTTTTAAAGTTAGGACAAGTCTTGGTCGCCTTGGGCCTCAAATTTTAGAGGCGTCATATTTTGAGGCCCATAGGGGATGGAAAAAAATAAAAATAAAATAAGTTTGGGCAAGTTTCAGACGACACAATCTCCTTCGACACGCCGCAGGGCGCAGTCTCCGCTATCGCCTCAGGTGACAAGGTATGTTTATCCTCTCTCTCTTCTGTCTGTCCTTTTGCATGAATCGATCTTTTATACATGTTTCTTTCTTTCGTTCATCTCATCATTTGATTTGTTCTAACTTTGGTTCGTTTGATTCGGGTCTTTACCTTTGTTCCAATAGTGAAAAGTAGCTTCCAAACTAGGGTTTTTTGTGTGTGTGTGTCACTGTGTGTGATGGCTATAAAAAGCTGAATGAATATATTATGGTTCTCTTATTATTTTAATAAATGCGTGCCTTTCTACATGTGTCTTTCATGGCGATCGAGTCCATAATCTATGGCAGGTACTTTTTTTTTTTTTTCCTCTCCCTAATTCCACTCCAATCTCACAACAGCAGCAACCATACCCCTTTTCCTCATAATTTTTTTGCATTTTCACATTCAATCCTACGAAAATTAAGGATCCCTTCTAGTGGGTTGAACCTTTGAGGTAATAATTAACTTTTTCGATTCTCTAAATTATTTTCATACTTAAAAGTGCCAAATTAGGGGGTTTTTTTTATATTTTATTTTTATATGAAGATACATACCACCATTATTGATGTTATTTGAAGTTGGCTCAGCTAGAATTTCAGTTAATAATACTGTCAAAGCACTTGCCATCAGAACGTACAAACACATGGAAATCAAGAGCAGGCTTTAACAAAACAAAAGTTAATGGTTTTTCTATTAATTTGCAGAGGTCTTCTGTAGCAATGATCAACCAGTCACTGCTACTAAAGTTGATTCCTCATCCTGAAATCAAGAAAGGGGTAATTGGCTCCCAAAAAAAACAAACACAAAATGTAGTGTAGTTAATAGAAAGAGTGAAAGACGAAACTGTATATGATAGTGGATGCCACATATAACCTAAATGTTCCACTACTTCTTTAGTACTACAAGTTCAGCCTCCTATAATATATATAGTCACCTCATCTCCACATATTTTTGTTATCTGTAATCGTCAAATTTTAGTAGCTATATAAACAATGAATGTAAAAGAAGCTGCAGTTTTCTGTTCTCTAGTAAACTGTTCTCTTCATCTTTTATTATGTGTCTGTGAAAATTTCGCACTCTTTAATTGATAGATTTATTGTTATTAGTTAGCTATCTTATGCACACTGCACAGACGTACAATTATTTATTGGTGGTGATAGATTTATAGTTATTAGTTAGTTGTCTTATGCACAATGTAAATGCGCATAATTATTTGTTGGTGGTGATAAATTTATAGTTGTTAGTTAGTTGCCTCATGCACAATGCACAGATGCACAATTATATTAGCTATAGAGTTTGAAAACATCGTGTGAAAATTTTGCACTCTTATAATTTTTTTTTGCGCATGTGAAACTTAAGGGCCTCATATTTGAAAGTTCACCTAGGGCCTCTCAAAATATTTGGAATCTCAAGGCGGGCCCTTGCTGGCCCACACAATGACATACACATTAGAGTTGTATTTTGTCGGTTTTTTAATAATCGGGGGAAATAGCACTACTCTATTTAATAACTGTCCCATTAGTATCTTAAACTAAAGAGTCCTGCTATTTGGCCCAACAAATAAAAACCTACTACTTCACCGAGTCTATGTGGCTACCCATGTGTCAAATATAATGGGACCTATTTTAAAATATAAGGTAATTTTTTTCCCTAAAATATAAGGTAATTGACTATTTAGAAAGTTGTAATCTTTTTTCTAAATTTATCTTAATCCAGTATCTTTGTTGGCAATTAAAGTTTCAACCACCATGTATATGCATATTTGTTTTATATTTCAAATTGTATCTTTGTAAGGACCATTGAGATATTTCAGATTGTATTTTTGATCATTAACATACATATATTACTTTGATAGGCATTTGTTAATTGCTATAATGATCGAAACTAATGATCTATCTAACTCCCAAAAACAAAGAGAAGAAGAGAAATTTAGAACAAAAATTGCAAAGGTATGAAAAAATTATAAAACATTGCAGTTTTTGTACAAATCAAATTATTAAATTTGAGTACCATGAAACTTATGTGAAAAAGAAAAAGAAGATGATATGGCTATGGAAAACTGAAAAGATAAGGAAATGGGTTATAGAAAACTGAAAAGATAAGGAACGGGAAATGAAGTATTTTATGGAAATAAACAAAAGTAATAATGATAATAACCATGTCATATTTTTATGTAATTCGGTTTTAAGTCGGGATATTAAGGTGGTCAAAAATATTATTTTCCTAAACTAAAACCGTGTCATCAGAAATGAAATTCCGAATGTCTTTTGTACTATAATATTACTGCAAGTCTAACTTATCAAAAAAAAAAAAAAATTACTGCAAGTCTACAACCTTTTCACTCTAAAACGCTCCACAATATATCAGATTCAGATCGAATAGAGAGGCAGAGATGGGAAAGAGTAGCAGAAATCCGGACCCTCCGAGCTGCAAGAAGTACGGGGTTCCTCTCTATGGGGCTTCGTGGGTCCCACGCAAGAGCATCAGATCCGACTCAAACCCAACGCAAGACGACGACGGCGATCAACCTTCCGCCGACGGATCGCCGCCGTCGACTGCTGCCGAGAACTACCTGGTTTTTGCTGGAGGCGGTGGTGAAGGCCGCAGCGGCATCCCCAACGCTTTACTCCTCGCCCACTTCGATCCCGCTTCCGATTCTCTCTCCGATCTGCCCGTGAGTCTCTTTTTTTAATTCTTTCCATAAATTTTATTAATCGTTTGATTTTCAGTTGTTCATGCTGAATAAATGTCACAAGCATTACTAATTTTTGTTAGAATATTTCTTTTTGAATTCATTCCATAAATTGTATTAATCGTTTATGTCGGTATAGGTATGAAAGTCAATAATTATTTAGTTGTTCATGCTGGTTAAATGTTATAAGCATTACTAATTTAGTTCAATCCAAACTGGGATAACTATTAGATCATAATCATCTTGGATATTTTTAGGAGCATTTAGAGATGACAGAGAATTAAGCTTGCTAATGCAATTGAGTCATTATAAGCATTAGTTGTGTTTTCAGCTACTATAAGTCCTGCGTGTTTATTTGGTTCTTATTATCATTTTTTATGACTCAGATAAAAATCATCTTTTGTGATTCCACGTTTATTGCCATTTGAATTTGGTGTATCAAAATTACATCTTTCTTTTTGATAAGTAATAATCGATTTAAAAAACGCTCAAAAGGGGAACGCGTCCCTTATACAAAAGCAGAACCGGGATCTAAGGACCCAAAGAGTCCAAAAGATTAACTAAGTCATCGGAAGAGGAGCAAGAACTCCTCTTCACGTAACTAAAGATAGAGCGAATAATATGAAATTTCAGCGTCACCATGGACTACTCATTAGCCTTCAAAACCTTTCAGGGACCCTTTAACCCTGGGACCGTGCCCCTCGAGTAAGTCTTCATTTCCTTTTTTTTTTTTTTTTTTTGACAAGTGTAAGTCTTCAATTCCTTTTAGGGACCCTTTAACCCTGGGACTGTGTCCCTCGTACGAAAATCACTACCCCAATATGTACAATCTCCCAAACCAATTCCCAATACCACAACTCAAAATACCCTTTCAGTTACAGTACTTGTCAACTCAAGATACAATACTGTTTTTCATATCAATTATCATTTCAAGTCACATCAACAAACGCATAGATACTGCAATAATTCTGTCATGATAATAATTCTCAGAACCATATATTCAAATAGCATTTGAATTATAACCAAATACACACATAACATGTCTCATCTCAGAATTTAAATAAATGAACAATTAAAGCAAGTATCAACTCAATTCATACAATTAAATAGCTCAATTTTAACATGAAACAACAAAGTAAATACTAATCATGCTTAAACAAGTAATTAGGACAAGAAATAAACAATTAAATCAGTTAATTTCTATATAGAACTTAGAATAGGAGACTTCCCTACATGTTTAATGATCTGTGAAGTCTCTTCTACAGCTCCTGACTTTGTTATGTCTGTTTCCCTTCCTTAAACCTTAGGATACAACTATCCATAAAATATAGTATTGTAAAATGGTCCATTGCCTAAGTTTCCATCCCTCTAAAGGAAGTCTTAGCATTGTATCTAATGTACACGGACACCTATATGCCCAGGTGTTGTGTGTGTGAGTTATGCTGGCAGTCAATACACATGTAGGAGATGACTCACTCAAATGTTTACAGCTTTTACATGGTAAAGACACATTGCCCCCAAAGTTGTAAAATTAACAAACAACCCCTCCAATTCTCTTTTATTCCATAACCCCATCATTAAAGCCAATTATCACACTAAGTATGATTAAAAAAAATAATAATGATTAAAAATCAGTAAGTATTTAAAAGTCATGATTAAAGGTCACTAACATGATTAAAGATCACTAAGCACGATTAAAAGGCATAATAAAATCATAGAATATTGTTGGAAATTGTGTTTTAAATTCCTATTCTAACTAGGATTCAATTTTAGAGTTGTATTCTATTAGGTAATTTCTTATTTGGCAAGTCTTGGCCTATAAGGAATTGTAATCCTTGTCCAACAAGGAATTATGTTTGTAACTCTATAAATAGGTACATATGTTGTGGGTTGAGACTTATAAGATTGAGAGAGATATAGTCTCACGAGGGAGTTGATGAGTAGAGGTAGTATGCAGGTTGGTAGAATAGGAAAAACACCAATGAAACTAGTAGCGAGGAGATAGGCTCGTGGAGTGGTACATGGTGAAAAGACATGTACGTAGTGTTGGTACTCTATTGTTGCAATATCTCTACGAATCATAGTGGAATCTCTTCTCATCCATAGATGTAGGCCGGTTTTGGCTGAACCATGTATATCTTGTGTTTGTGTGTGATTGCTTTGTTGACTTTCTTTGGATCTTTGTGTTTCGTCCGCTACTCCAACAAATTGGTATCAGAGCCAAAGGTGAAGGAGATCTAGAAAACACAAGAAGTCTCAACATGTGCTAATGCAACAGGCTTCAATTGTTGGTGGAATCAATCGGCTTAGTTACATGGCATGGAGCTCTAGTGGTCAATGTGGAGCCTTGGAGGTTTGACTGATCGAGCAACGTATAATGTGGACAATCGGAGATTTATAGGAGTATTATCAAGATTGAAGCTATAAAAGAATTGTCCTGATCAATGCCATGGAAAGCGATGATTGGTTGGATGGAATTTGAGCCAAAGTGGAGATTGTTGGAAATTGTGCCTTAAATTAAGAGATTGAGTGATTGCTTTGTTGGCTTTCTCTGGATCTTTGTGTTTCACGCGCTTCCGCTTCCCAACAAATTGGTATCAAAGCCAAAGGTGAAGGAGATCCAGAAAACACAAGAAGTCTCAACATGTGCTAATGCAACATGCTTCAATTGTAGGTGGAATCAATCGGCTTAGTTACATGGCATGGAGCTCGAGTGGTCAATGTGGAGCTTTGGAGGTTTGACTGATCGAACAACGTATAATGTGGGCAATTGGAGATCTACAGGAGTATCATCAAGATTGAAGCTGCAAAAGAATTGTCCTGATCAATGCCATGGAAAGCAATGATTGGCTCGATGGAATTTGAGCTAAGGTGGAGATTGTTGGAAATTGTGTCTTAAATTAAGAGATTGAGGGAGAGAGACTTTGGAATTCGTACAGAAACAGAGTGAGGTGCTGAAATCTTGTAATCTCCGATTTTACACGTAGTGAAAACTTTCGCCAGATCCCGACTGTAGACGTAGGCTGTTGCCGAACCACGTACAAATCTTTGTATTCTTTGTCTGGTGTGTTTACTTTTTTGTCGTAATTCTTGATTCAACTTGGGTTCGTTTCGTTTGTCATAACAAACTGGTATCAGAGCCAAAGGTGAAGGAGATCCAAAAGAACATAAGAAGTCTCAACATGTGCTGCGATGAGCTTCAGTTGTAGGTGGAGTCAATCGGCTTGGTTACATGGCATGGAGTTCGAGTAGTCAAGGTGGAGCCTTGGAGGTTTGACTGATCGAGCAATGTATAATGTGGACAGTCGGAGATTTGCAGGAGTATCATCAAGATTGAAGCTGCAAAAGAATTGTCATGATCAATGCCATGGAAAGCGATGATTGGCTGGATGGAATTTGAGCCAAGGTGGAGATTGTTGGAAATTGTGTCTTAAATTCCTATTCTAATTAGGATTCTATTTATAGTGTTTCAAACCCAATTCCTTGTTGGACAAGGATTACAATTTCTTATTTGGCAAGTCTTGGCCTCTAAGGAATTGTAATCCTTGTCCAATAAGGAATTATGTTTGTAACTCTATAAATAGGTACATATGTTGTGGGTTGAGCCTTATGAGATTGAGAGATATGTAGTCTCATGAGGGAGTTGATGGGTGAGGTAGTATGCAGGTTGGTAGAGTAAGAAAAACACTAATGACATTGGTAGCGAGGAGATAGGCTCGTGGAGTGGTACATGGTGAAAAGACATGTACGTAATGTTGGTACTCTATTATTGTAATATCTTTACGAATCATAGTGGAATGTCTTCTCATCCATGGATGTAGGTCGATTTTGGCTGAACCATGTATATCTTGTGTTTGTGTGTGATTGCTTTGTTGGCTTTCTCTGGATCTTTGTGTTTCGCGCTCTTCCACTGCTCCAACAAATGTTGGAATAAAAATATAGGATCTTATAGTAAGGCAAGGATGACTACGACAACGAGAACGACATATCAAAACACATTGGTTTACGAGGAAAACCATAGAGAAAAACTGCAAGAACTTAGGCAAGGAAAATTGGATCCACTATGAAGAAAATGCATTACAACCATAGGTCTCAGACTCAAATTATAAAATGCATAGAATCACTGAAGTTACCACTAATTCAAACTCACCAAACGTTCTACCTCCAACTCTGCTGCTGTCTGTCAATGCATTCGTTCCTAATGTGATCCACTTTTCATGTGATTTATCTTCTTGGCTAAGTTGTCCAATCTTATTTGTTTTTACTTGGGTGATTTGTTGGTAAAGATGTTCTTTAAAGCACGTGAATAGATCAACACCCTAAGATCTCACTTGCCATCTATATGCTTGGGTGATGAAATAAAAATTGCTCTGGATGGTATATTTACTCTCTTGATATGTATATTTCTACACTCTTCTATATTTTCTTTGAGCCCTAAGAGTGTTTATATAGGCTTTTGTTTCAGAACAATTAGGGTTTAAAGAGTTTGAATTGAATACGAAAAAGTATCTCGCAAGCTTTGATTGTTCCAATTAAGGGTTCGATTGATCAAGCACACGTAGTAAGGGAAAATCTATGGTTCGATTGATCGATCCAAGTTGCTTCTTTCACTAAGTATACAATTTTCTGTTTTTGAAATCTATTTATATGCATTAAATGATATGTATACATACATACATGTATGTGCATGTATAAAACCCTAATTGGTGAGTCAGGCATGAATTTACAATTGTGCTATTAGCATTCTATCATATGACGAGAACCTTCGTCGCAATCATCCTGTAAATATATATATACATATATATATATATATATATATATATTGAGGATATCAAAGATGGATTGGACCAGACCAGACCCGACCCGCGAGTAAAGCATCAGGTTGAATGGTAGGTCCGAGCCCAAGCAAAAAGGGTAGCGTAATGAGCCCAACACCCACGAAAGAAGGATCGGACTGAACAGTTGAACTTAGCCCATAACGC